TAATTTAACAGATTTAACAAAGAAATGGCAAGTAACACTGAATTTAACATGACATTTTTAAGTAGAGACCAAGTATTTTCTTCAATAAACTTTTTTGTTTGTTTGGTTGTTTAATTTTCAACTTCAAAAAACAATTTTTACAGTCCATCTAAATAAATACCATTTAAAACACAAACTAACCTGCTCACTTCAATGCAATAGTCTCCTCTGATAGTGCCAGGGAGAGAGTCTGCTGGATTTGTCTCTCCAAGCATCTTTCTGGCAGTCTTTACCACATCCAGCCCTTGCCATACCTAATTAAAAACATATGCAGATAGACACATGTAAGTGTGACATAGCATTACAGGCCTTTAGATGAGGCATAATTACAGAACTCATATTTGGGACCAATATGGAGGCACTGTGTTCCTTGCCATTGCAACAATGGGTCCAGAGCTCATGTATTTGATCAAGCCACCGTAGAATGGCTTCTCCCTCAGGTCCCTGTAGTGCTGTCTGAGCTGCTCCTCTGATGCCTACAGGCGTAAACACACATTTATATTAATACAGATGATATATTCTCCAGGTGAATATTATGTGAAAGATGCTTCAGTGGTGCTCTCACCTGCAGGAGCTTCATGCCGACCAGTTTGAAACCCTTGCGTTCAAAGCGAAGGATGATTTCACCCACCAGTCTGCGCTGAACTCCGTCTGGCTTCACTGCGATGAACGTGCGCTCGTTTGTGCCAGTCCATCCTGCAATGAACATCTGAAATTAAACTCATTGCTCTCGACTCTCAAAGCTATTGCTTGCTTGTGTACAGAACTTCATTACACAGAAATCAAAACAGATGTGATTGGTAGAAGCTATTATGTGTGCTACTCAAATGTATTACACATCTCACGTAAAAACAGATTTGATTGGTCGAATTTAGTATGTGTGGTATGGTATTCTAATATACACACTTCATTCTGATTGGTCAGTCACGGCATTTAAATTTAATAGATAATATATAGACTCTGTGGTCTATATAAAACAACAATTTAAACTGAAAGTAATACTTCATCATATATATATATATATATTAGGGATGCACGATATATCGGCCACCA